TAGAATTATGATATGATCCAGCTATTCCACTTCTGGGTATTTATTTGAAGAAAGCAAAATACCTCAAAAAATTCAGAATAGAATTATGATATGATTCTGGGTATTTATTTGAAGAAAGCAAAAACACTAATTCAACAAATATATGCACCTTTATGTTCATAGCAATATTTATAATACCTGAGATATGGAAACTACCTAAATGTCCATCAATAGAAAAATGGAAAAAGAAGTGTGGTATATATTATATACCAGGGAAAACTACTCAGCCATAAAAAGATAAAATTTTGCCACTTGCAACAACAGGGATGGACCTTGAGGGTATTATGCTAAGTAAAATAAATCAGATGGAGAGAGACAAATACCTTATGATTTCACATGTATGTGGAATATAAAACAAAAACAAAAACAAACTTGTAGATGTAAACAACAGATTGGTGGTTACCAAAGGAGAAGGTGAAAAGGGTCAAAAGTGTCAATTGTATGGTGACAGATAGAAACTAGACCTTTGGCATGCTGTAGTATATACAGATGTTGAATTATGATGTTTTATACCTGAAACTTATATAATGTTATAAACCAGTGTTACCTCAATAAAAACAAAATGGAAACAATTCTTTTTGTCTGAATCTAAAGTTGTGCAGATAATGCAACCTATAATCCAACAATTTCACTCATAAGTAAATAGCTAAAAAAAATAGGTACATGTGTGGGTGTAGACATATACCAGAGTATTCGTAGCAGCATTATTCATACTGAAATGAATAAATTTTGTATATTTATATAATGGAATATGATCCAGTGATGAAAACAAATAGATTATTGCTACTTGGAGTATTTGGATGAAACTTATACATATAGTATGAGCAAAAGAAGACAAAAATATATATACCATATGATTTTATTGATATAAAGTTCAGAACTATTCTTTGGTTAGATGTTAGAATACCAGAGTTCGACTGAAGAATGGAAAAGGGTATTAGTGACTGGAAAGGGACATGAAAAGTTTCCTTTTAAAAATCTAATTTATAATTGCTTAGATATGTTTATTTTTCATAACTCTGATAAGTCATCAAGCTTTCTGACATTTGAGAAAATCAGCCAAACATTCATGAAGCAAAGTGTCCAACAGAGCACAAATTGTGCTTATTGGCTATTTTGCCTTCTGGGTCAAAAAACTTTTTGAATACTCAATGGGCAAATGAAGGGCCCCATAGTGACTATCATATTACAAGGAAATGTATTTATCATTTATAAAGAAACATACTATAAATGTACGCATCATGTCTAGTGGAATTGAGAACAATCTGTTATCATCACCAACATCATTTTTATGTTTTTGAAATGTTAAAGACTTAGACCAATTAATTTCAGAAAGTTTTCCTAAAGTTATTGAATCAAATATGAATAGAGAATAAGTTGAGTGCATGGACTTTTGACTGGCTCCTACTTCTAGGAAGCTTCTAAAAAGTAACTCTTAAATATCTTTTCAGTAAGTGGGGTCACTTATGTAGTTTAAAAAATGTTTGAGTCTATCACTGACCATTAAAGATCATTTTATTACCTACGTTTAAAAGTTTTAAAAATATTTTACATGAGGAGATGTTTTTAGTGAAAGAGAAGATGAGAGAATAAAAATAAAGAAAAAATTAAGTTATATTTCAAAAAATGGAAAGAGTATGCACCAAAATGATATATCTGGTTGGTAATATCATGAGCATTTTAACTTTTTTCATTTTGCTTACAGTAATTTTCTAATTTTCTTAATGGACATATATCATTCATTATATAAGAATAAAACATTATAAAGATTATAGAGCTTTACAGACACATGTGGTTATTTATTGACATTTGATTCAATATTGAGAAAACTGTCACTACGCAAGAAGAAACCTTAAATTTCAGTGTACTTACTGGCCCAGTGACCTAATGCTTTTGTGCTTTTTTGATTCATAAGAATCACGTTCTTTCTGGTAGGACTTAGCTGAACAACAACAGGCAAGGAAAATAAGTTAAAGAGAATTCACACAAGCTGACCTTACATATTTGCAAACTATGGCCCATAGAAAGGTTGCCCACATATTGTGCCTCAAAAATGACAGAACAGTTTTTTAGTCACCTTGTCTTTTCTAGTGGGTATCCTGACACACAGTTACTTTAAACACTAGTTATTTTGAATTACTGTTTTCATATTTTAAAAGGGGGGTAATTGGAAGAGATAATAGCATGTAAAATAAAAAATAAATCTATTTTCTTCAGGCATATGTTTGCCTGTCATAATGCTTGATTTTCTGAAACAATGGGAAAGCTCTAGACAAAAATAATTAACTAAATACTTTTCAAAATAGAATTTGAATGTGCTAATTAAATTTATGTTTTCCTTCATAGTGGAAAACATTAAACTTTCTAACTTTCTATTATTATTTCAAGAGTAGACAACGTACTTTATTATAAAATTCCCTATAATAACCTAGAAACATAGAATGAGAAAATATTATACATCATAGCAAAAATAGAGCCATCAAGATTTTATGCCTAGTCTCCAAAGTTATGAAATAAATTTACTTAGTGCTTATTGGAGGAGAGAAATGATCATCTCAGGATCTACAGAAATTCTTATTCCTACTGCTAAAATATCATAAAAGAATTCAATTTTGAAAGAATTCTCTATAAGATTGATAAACTTAGAAAAAATCACATGGCTTTGGGTTTGACATGCATAGTTCCACATAACACATTCACTTCCAGGAATGTTTAACAATAAGCTGTAATAAATATGAACTATAAAGGAGTTGACATCTTTAAAAAGATAATTATGTCTTTTAATTTATAATCATTTAACTGCTTGAATTCACACACTTATAATTTGTTGAATCGCAATTTTAGAACTTTCATCAGATACTCAAGTTTATTCTTTTAATTACATATTGTTTCCTTTTTTGGCTTAAGCTTTTTCCACATTGCACAAAATTTATAAAGTTTGGAACTCATCCATTGTACTTACTCAATTTGTCTACACTCTAATGAATAAGAACCCAAAATTGGTTTGGAGGAATCTCAAACATCAAGTTTCTCTGCTAAACCGGAAAAATTATGAAATCTCCACTTCATTCTGTGTATGTGTTGGAAAGAGAACTGAACTTTGAATTGGAAGACCCCAATTAGCCTTGGTCCAAGTCACCTGACTGTTATTTTTGGAGTGCATCAAAGCACAGAGGCAGGTGTTCTTTTATGAGACTCTCATACTAGATTGGATGAGAATCACTAAAATACCTGTGAATATAATTAATAATCTTGAGGAACATCTATCTTTCCTTTACTTTTTAACAAAGATGAATAGTTTTTACTAGACAAAATGAAAGAGATTTTACAAGCAGAAAGAACCAAAGGCTATAGAAGAAAGCCAAAGGCAGTGTCAAGAGGCTGATGAATTAAATAACAGAGAAAAAAAGAGTTGGGGGAAAAAACACTATTTGAGTTATATTTTTGCCCACTGAACAGGACAGTAAATATAGATGTTCTGAGGAAATAAGAGCAACAAGTATCCAATATAACCTTCAGATGAACAAATAGTCAGACATAAAAATGGTGGGATTCTTTTAACAGCCCCATGGAAAAAAGATGGGTTTTCACTGTTAGTGAGTTTCTATAGAAGTAGATGTAGATCCAATAATGATGGTTGTTGTCTTCATTATTAATGTACTCAAGAACTTTTCTAAAATTTTTTAATCCCATTGACTTTAGTCGACTCACATGGGAAGACATGTAGCCCTAGGCTTTTTAAAATCATTGAAAGGATAGAGTAGAACAATAAAACTAATTTAGTTTTTACCTTTTCTTCTACTTGAGATCCACCTGGCAGTCACATTTCTAAGATAGTATCCCTCTTTTTAATTACTCCCTTTCACATCAACTTGCATATTTCCTTTGTAGCCCTGGTCACATTCTATAATTGCTTTACATGTCTGGCTGTCTGCTGTCTGTCTCCTTCACAGGAGTGTTAGCTTCATGAGGGCATGAACTCTATTAGAAGTGATACTACTTCATCCCCTGAATCTATAATGTTTGTTGAATTAATAATTCAAAAAATATATACTTGGCATTGTAGAAAAGAGTATTTTGTAGATGATGGCTAAATATTAAGTGGCCTATAGACAAGAGGAAAGGATTCTTTAGGAAATTAGTATGAATATTTTTGGTAGGCAATAGAGTGAATTTATCAATGTAAAAGTGAAATTTGAAACCAAGAGAACACAATCCTAAATTACGTTGGACACCCACATACTATGTAGGATAAAGGTGTATTGTAAAAAGGAAGAAAAATTGTAGAAAATATTTTAGTAATTATCAGGGGAAACTAAAGGTGATGATCAGGAACAATATGTACATTCATTTGTCATACATGTGCCATAAAAATATATACATATAGGACTTATGTCCTGGTTATGTATCTGTCTCATTGCATAGAGTGTAGATAATGAAATAAGCTTGATTTTAAAATAACAAAATTTATATGTTCTCATGAGTATATCTGAGACTTTTGCAGCACTATTTATGACTTGAATACAAGAATAGGAAATTAACTGGCACTAGAGATTAAAATAGAGATTAAGATAATTACATTTATCAGCACAAAAATTCAAGACTTGTGGGTGGAGTAGCAGTGGGGGATGATAGTCTAAAGGCAATTAACACTGTGAAAGAAAAAAGCAATATTTGGGGGGAAATAAATATGCAACAGATATTCTAGATGCATGGAGAATGTGGATAATCACAGCAGCAAAACAAATATGTGATTGAAAAATATATCACCTGTCTGGACATTTAATGGTTATCTTCTGCCAAAACTGTTCTCAGAAGTTGGAAGAAGGAACATGGTTTTTTGTTAATCTGGACTTATTTCTGGAGTTAAAGAGGAAATAGATAATAAAAGTTTGGGAAAAAATGATGATAGAACTTTTATGATTCTAATAGTAAAGGAATTGAGTAATTAATACATTCAGATAAGCACATGTACACCAGGTTTTAGAAAATCAGATTAACAGGCTAAACACTCACTGTATTAAGACCATGCATGTGTCCCTAGCCCCTATTTCTTTCCCTTGGTCTGGTTTTATAAATGCTGGTGATAAACCGAGTCTGATTTATATGATACATCTTAAGTGGGAAATGGCTGACTCTAGGTGGCTTTCATCAACCTCAAGAAATAAGAGCACAGCTAGTACAATAACTTAAGATAACCACTGCTAATTTCATTATTACCAGTGCCATTAGAAGAATTGTAAAATTTTTAAAAATCAGATTAATTTTCACTGTGAGAAAAGCTATATTTTTATCACATGATAAGAAACTCTAAAGAATATGGTGACTAAAGATGGGAAAGTCTTCAATTAAAATTTTATAAAATATAGATGAGGACAAGAAGCAGTCATTTAATTAAAGATTTGTACTTATGTACAGTACATGAACATTCAAAACTAAATAATATGTTTGAGAGATGGTTAAACTATAAAGCAAAGTAAAAAAAACAATATACATTAAGTTTAGATTAGTCATTATTTCTGAATAAGTAGAGGAAGAGACAGAACTGGGAGGCACGCAGGGAACTAAAGGTTGTTGGTAATGTTCTTCTACAATAACTGGAGTGGGTGTATAAATGTTCTTTACACTGTGTTTCTTTAAACCTGACATATCTTATAAACATTTTTTATTTTTGTATAATTCAGTATTATTCAAAACATTAAGAAAAAGTCACCTAGTCTGACTGTGTCATGTTGTTTCCCAGGTAGAAATACTTAATGTATCATTAAAATGGGTATTAGAAAATGTTAATATATATAAATGTGTATATAAGGTGGTATGGTCTAAATATTAAACAGGTCTAAAAATACAGACAAAATATAATAGTGCCTACTTCCAATGCTGGAAATAGAACTATCAAGAGAAAACTGAAAGAACATTTGCTTTATGTACTTACTACACTCTTCTGTTTCATCTGAATTTATTTTTAATAATAATCACATACTGTACTGCCTGAGATAAAAATCTCAATTTAATCACGCATTGTCAAGTGACATAACCTCTCTATCTCAGTTCATTTGTTTGTAAAGGTAAGCTAATGATATTACCTTCAACTCTAAAGTTATGGGGAGAATAAAATGAACAGTGCTTGTAAGCACTCAAATGTTAGAAATTACTTCTATAAAATATAAATAATAGAAAGATTTAACACTAGATGGTAACAAAAACTATGGAATATGTTATTTCAAAATAAGATAATGACATAAAAAAAAAGATCAACTTCTCAGCCTGAGTATAGTTACTATTTCTGAAAAATTCTAAAGATGTTAATGGTTAGTCTCTATTATTTACAAATTACAAGCAAGTCTAGAAATATCTTTTTAGCTGTATAATTTGATTCAGACTCATCAATGCAGACTATATATGCTATTGGAATGTACAAAGGTTTCAATGAAGGAGAAATAAAATACTGAACTTCTATGTCAGAAAAAAAAGTAGAAAAAATAATACCTTTTGCAATTACACCATAAAAAATAAAATACCTAGGAATAAATTTAATGAAACAAGTGAAGGACCTATATAATGAAAACTATTAAAAGAAATAGACCCTATTAAAAGAAATAGAAAAAGATACAAAGAAATAGAAAGATATTTCGTGTTCTTGGATTGGAAGAATCAACATA